AGAGAGATTTGGTCCACTTACTTTTTATACACTTTTCTATGGGAGCACTATGTGCCGTCTACTGAAGGGCTGAGCTTAGTTGTCATACTTATACGAGGTGAACCCAGCTTCTATACCTCCTGGCAGAACCATGATTAACTGAGCCAGCTTTGAACATATTACTTGTTCGATTCACCAAGTCTCCTTTTTGAAGATTAGTACTAGAAAACATGGACATTAGTATTGGAAAATGGCAACACACCAAAAAACATATTTGATGAGGCAAAAAAGAACTACAGATTATGTAGTTCTTTTGTCTTTATTTACACAGAACAGTATATTCCTTTCGACATCATTTCCATTTAGTACCATGCCACTGAGTATCTTTTCTGGCCCTATCGATCTATTAGGTTTACTGCAGAGATGTTTTCCAGATTCCTGTGGTGTCTTTTTTGGCTACCCTAGGAGGATAGTGAAAAAGATAGTCTATACAATCGTGGCAAAGATCATGAGAGTCAATAAAAAAAAAGAAATCAACTCAGTCCTTTCCATTTTCTCTACGCTATCTTCGTGTCATGTCATGAATATTTAATCATACCACACCGATGTAGGGAAGTAGCAGGGTGATATGAATTAGGAGGAAAGTGGGTACTAACGTGATGGGAAATGATTACATTTTTATGTGTTCTATAAAATCCTATACACAGTTATGAAATTCCATAAATAATGTCAATACTGGCTTACTATATTCAGTAACAGATGTTCCATTTGAGGCTGGGATTGACCATGTTTTCAGATTAGAGAGAAATAATGCTAATCCAAAAGAGTTTAACAGGAATGGAAAACAGTACAAATCAACCTTGCGAAGAAACGATAGGCCCCATTCTTTATTTTTAAAAGAAAGTGAAAAGTGTTGCATGATGGCAGAGATTTGAATGGACCGTAATGAATCTCAGTGGCTGAATGCTGATTCAAAATAAATGGAGATAATTAACCGATTGGAGATCTGCAGGCAACAGGTAATTGGATTATCAATGGATAATTTGTTTCCATGGACATTTTTTACTATCTGCGCATCTGCAATATTTCATTCTTGTCATTTTGTTCTCTGAAAGAATGTCCTCAAAACTCAGTTAATCCCCCATATGATCTCTGTAATTAAGTTATTTTGAAGAGATGGGGACTGCATTTTTATCCTCAAACAACATCCAAAGCTCTCATTTTAATTCCAAATGACACCTTATTTCCGCTGCTTTTGTACTGACCCTTTGAGAAGAACAACGCTTTTTCATTTTCCAGGGAGCACAAACCCAAGTTTAATAATTTTGATCTTTTAAAATATTGACCATTAATTTGGGTCTTTTTCTAGTTATGGCAATTCAACATTTCAAATTTCAAGTATCTTTTCATCAAATTTCTAACTTTGCCGTAACTTTGAAAGTTACGCTTGTGCAATGACAACCTACATGCTGCTTATTTTTCACTTTATAGGCATAACGAGATGATGGCAGGGTCAAGTTTCTCCCTCTCTAAGGAATAAGGAAGACTACTTCCCTGTCTCGGTGAGAAGAGAAGTTGGCAGTCTTCAATATTGTAGTAAAGAGTTTTTAAAATCTATCTAAAGGGTGTAGCAAAATTTCCAACACAGAAAAAGCACATAACAAAACCAAGACTACTAACTCATCAGACCCTAAGTGACAGAAATGGGAAATAACAATTCTGTGCGGGGAATGTTTTGCGTGACAGAGAGAAACACCATTTACGATTCTAAGCCTTGGTTCCCAGAACCAAATATTCTGTGAAGAGCACACTCTGAAGCCTGATATGTTCACTTTCCATCCTGCTCCACCTCTCCTTAGCTGTATAATGCTGTATAAATTACTAACACTTTGACTCAGTGCCTTCATCTATAAGTGAGGGATAATATTAATCTCAAAATGCTAGATTTGCAGAAATGATTAAAAGAGTGACAAAGGTCTTAGAGCAATGTATCCTGGCACATGGTTATCACTGTTAGCATTTATTATTGTTACTACAGCTAATAGAATGAGTGTGGAAAGTGTGAGTTCATAGTTAAGTGAAGTCGTGAAAGCTATCTAGAATTCCGTCAGATGTCATTGTGACAGTGTTGAGTGTTGTGTTCCTACAAGACTAGAAAAAGATCAAAAGGATACTTTTACCAAGTTCTTGGTCTTCAGGACTAAAACAAAGACAGTTGAGCATCATATAATTGATATTTCATTTAAATATCATATAATTGATTCAAAATTGAGCTTTTAAGCAGAAATCATACTGTTTTTAAATACAGAATTAGAATATTTTAAGATAACGACACGATATTTGTTAATATACTTTTTGAGATTCATAAAATTTACTTAAATTTTCAAAAGTTTTGATAGAAAAGTGAAATACGTAAAAGGGAAGTTGAACATATTAAATTTATAAAATCCACTTAAGCCATTTGAAATATTTAAGGAAATTTAATTAAATAAGCAGTAAAACTCCCCTTAAAAATAATTGTCCAAATGTCCTGTTTTTAGTAAAAATGTATGATAGCAAGTGGAAGTAACTACCAGATTTAAAAATTTGTATAAAATTTGATATTTAAAACTAAAGAAACTAGTGGATAATCTTTTCTTGGGGGAAAATCTTCAAGGGAATATGTGTGTGTGTTTGTATCATATTTAAAAATCATTATCATCTTCAAACTGTTCAGATCACTTTTGTTATGAACAATCTCTTTTTATTCTCTTTATCAATTGTGAAATTTTTTTGAAAATTTGAAACTAACTTGAAGACCCCCCCTGAAGTTCAGGGTATTGTACTTGGAAATCAAGAACTGGATGATGAAAAACCTTAATTTGTTGGCATTTTGGAGGAAGGGATAATATATATATTTGGAGTATCCTCTGGAGTCTAAGAAGACAAGTAGTATAGTTGGAGGTCAGGAGTATCAGTGGTGACTGCAGCCTTCTTGGTCGGGCAGGATCCCAGGAGTACAGGAGGTCAATGAGGATAAAGTTATATGGTACTTTTGGGAAATGATAATTATTACCTGCAAATGAGGAAATTTGGACCCTAACTAACTTTTTATCACTTCTCTTTGTGTTTTTCAAAACAAAAGGCATTTTATTAGAAACTTGGGTTTTCCCATATTTTATATGATTCTGGCATTATTTTCCTCTAGATTTTAACACATGCCTTTGTATTTGGGATTTCATTAGCTTCTGGCCTCAGCTATTGCCTTGGTAGTACCAAGCAAGGAATTTCTGTACATGTTTAGAGAAGTATTTTGGAGCAGTCTGTGATTCTCAGGGGAGGAGAATAGGAGAAAGGGAAAGTGCCAGGAGCTGACAATATAGCAGGTGTTTACTTTCTCTATTTTGTGATCCCTCAATGTTATTTTGGCATAATTATCCCTGTTTTAAAGACTGAAAAGAAAACAACCAGAAATCTGAGATTGTGAATAGGGTCACACAGTTACAATTAGCAGATGGGGTGTCAAATCCGGGTCTGATGCCAAAGGCCTTACTCTTTCTAAGAACAGCAAAGGCAAATTAAACCTAGTGGCAAAGTCAGATTTGTTTCCCACCAAAAGATTTTCGTTCCAGACTTCTCTGATCCTCTATTTTAACTTGTCAAGAGAATATCTTTATTTGACCTTTATAATTGAATTTATCTTAAGAAGTCTATTTGCTTGTCCCTGAAAAGTATATTATTCTGTTTTATGTCTATTAGGTTGAATAATATCTCACTCATTTATGTAAGTCATGTTTTTAGTCTTAATTTTTTTGTGTGTGTATTTCATTTTTGCCGTGTAGAACAAGGAACTTGTTTCTTGATGATTTTTGGAAATGTATAAAATCAATGACCATGGCCAAATTTATTTGCTTTCACTGGAAGACTAATATCAAGGTCAAGTGTATGTATTTTTTGCCTTAGGATGTGTTTTGAAGACCCTTTGGGTAATCCATGACTTTTGAATGCAAACCAATGTGAATTGCTTTGCCTCACACCATTGTAACAATCTTTTCAGCTAGAAGAGGGCAACAGGAGAACCCAAATTAATGATGTTTGCATGGGTTGGGTGTGAGTCTAAATTACTATAATGAAAATGTCTACAATGCCTCAAATATGTTTTCTGCCAGCATTTAAGAAGTAGTATTTCTGTTTTCTCAGTATGTCACCAACTGGTTTTGAAAGTAGAGGAGGTTACAGCTACCTGTTCCCATTGCTTATTTGGCACCAGATATTTTGCTAAGTATGTGACAAGCATTTATCACCACAGGATATGGGTTTTAATTGGTTTGTGGGTATTTATTTATTTGTATTGTCTTTTAAGCAAAAGTTTTATCTTAAAGCTAGTATCAAAATGCAAAAGAGAAGTTACGGATGATGGTTCTCTTAAAAAAGCTTCTTATTTTTATTTATTTATTTTTATCGAAGTAGCATTGGTTTATAACATGTAAATTTCAGATATACATCATAATATTCTGATTTCTGTGTAGACTACATCATGTTCATCACCTACAGACTAATTACCATCTCTCTCCATACACATGTTCCCTATTACCCCTTTCTCCCTTCTCCCTCCCCGATTCCCCTCTGATAGTCACCAAAAGCCACTTATTTATCTTCAAAAATCCACTTATTTATTCCCACTGTTACTTCTGTAGGATTTCTGTTAAAGTACTGAAGACATGATGATGCGAAGCGGGTGCCATCACTGTTTTCTTCATGGCAACACTCATTTTCTACAAAACCTCAAGGTGTCTCATTCAAATAAACTGCATTTATTTTTTTTCCTTCTTTTCTTTACCATGTGCTCCTTTTCCGTCTAGGTTGCCTTAAGTTAGACCTTCCAGAAGTATCTGCCAAAATATTTAATGATTTTTGATGGCACCAATGGCTTACTTGAGTTCCTGCATAGGGGTAAGGCAGGAACTTCAAGTCTGAATGTCTTTGGACTCTTAAGTAATAACTCAGGATTTGATGGACACACAGTTCCCATAGAAGAAAAAGAAACCAATTTGTTGTAATTTTCTCTACCACCAAAAGATATTGTTTGTGCTGGAAGAAAGGGATGGAAACACTGCTAGAGGTATTGGAAACAGTTAATAAGTAGATAAGCACCAAGAAGAAAAATTTCTTTTGTCTGTCAAAGCCCTCCGGTGTTGCCAAGACTTTTTGTGTCTGATGTTTGAGAGAGACAGGGCTGTTCTCTTCAAAGGCTCGTGAGAAAAGAATCAACTTTGCAACATCTAAAGAACAGAGGAAGAAGGTAACGATGAGAAAATATTTGTGTTACTCCTTAAATCAAAGAAAAATTTGTAAGCATTAATAAAAAATCTCCCTGGGAAACTAAACCTTATTAATACTACCTGGTTATCAGAATGATTTAGGGTTCTTATTCTAGTTTACTTGAAAATATGGAAAGGATAATATCTTAACAGTCAAGGTGATCCAGTTCCTGTTTTTATAGTACTTTTGTGTGTGTGTGTGTGTATTTTCTCTCAAATCTAACTCATTATAGAGATGTATCAATTCACTTCTCTCTAATATACAGGTATGGAGATCATTAGAATAAGTGTAGCCTGACTGAATCATATGGGTATATTACTGATGCCTTTGTTTACAAAGAAGACTGTCTTTCATCTCAATAATATGTTTTTAGACATTCTGCCTACAGGAGGATATATATTATCACCTCTCTTCCACACATCTGGAGAAAATCATTTGTTTCTTTGCATTCTCTTGACACCAACTAAAGAATGTTTATATCACATTTGTGAAAGAATAATTTTCAGCAAAAGGTAAAATCATGACTCTCATACAGAGATAAAAAGAACTTGTGATAAAGATTGGATTTAGCTCGTTATTAATGAGGGAACTGATAAGATGTTACAACTAGTTCAAAAGAGATTCCCAAGAACAGACATGTTTGTAAATCAGAAATATTAAAATGAATGTGCAAATGGGTGCAAACTGGTTTCTAACATAGTGGGGGAGGAAAATCAATTGAACCTTTACCAGAAAAAATTTATTTTCTTGTTTATAAATAAGAATCATTTTGTACTGCCATGAATTGCCTCTGACTTAAAGGGCTGTCTCCAACTTCTAAATAGCTCAGAGGCAGTGAAGGATGAGAATCAGATAACCAGGAAAGGTATGTGGTAAAAAATACACAGTTCTCCACTGGAGATAGCCAGTAATCTTTTATACTTATTCCAAATTGTCTTACACACTGTGACGTTCTGCTTGACGTGCTGGCTACCTCTCTGATGATTTTCTGCATATCTGGCCGTCTATTTTGTTCTAGCTAGGTACTGAGCTTCTCTGGGGAATGGTCTATGCCTTGAATTCTTTTTTTTTCTCCCTGTTATTCCAAATTTAGGAGTGGATGAAAAACCGTGACTTTTTTAATAGCTAGTGAAATGAGATTATAACAATGGGTGTTATTGGTCAAACACAGTGAGAAGTTGATCTTCATGGCATGTTGTCTGATAGCGCACTATAAATATAAAGCGTCCTTCGAAGGCAAGAGAAGAATGATTCTTCTTTTCTTAGGTATAACTGTTTGGTTAATAGCAACACTTTCAGAATTGCTTTGTTTCCTTAATTTGTGCTCTCATGGATTTTTATGGGTGAGAGTTCTTTTGACTCCAGCTTAGGTTAAGCATCAAAAAAGCACATGGGTAGAACTTTAAGCCAGACAAATCTATATTCCAATCTAACTCTGTTACATTACCCCTTAGGGGCTGAATGACCGTAAAGACAGATAATTAACTTTTCTGAGACTTAGTTTCCTCATTCTTTAAGTTGAAATAACAATACTGTAACCCACGATTGTTAGGAAGATTATACAACATATAGAAAAACTTAGTTTAGTGAGGAATGCAGTAAATACTATTTTCCTTCTTTATCCTCTTTTCCTATTTTAATTTAAAACAAATAAAAAAAAATCAGAATGAAGTCTTAAACTCTGCTGAACGCGATTTCAGACCTGAAATTAGCCTGAATACTCGTAAATGACTTTTAAAAAATACTTGAAGTATTTTAGTTTATAAGGTGAGTTTATAGGCTGCTTTTAACTTGAAGACTAATAATGTGTTTTAAGATTGGGACAAATTTTAAAAACTAACACCTTGCTCCTTGATAATTAAAAAAAGCCTAGTTTATTAAAACATTTTCTCCCTTTTCAACTGTTACAAGACAAAAAAATGTCAGAATATTTCTGATGCAAATGTTTGGTCTCCAATCTCATTCTCTCCCTCTCTCTAATTAGGGGAATTTCAGCCATCCAATTCAGAAAACACACTAGCCATTGTATTCATATTCTAGAACAGAAAATGTCAGCATTCAGAGAGAACATTCAGTGTATATGCAGAGTTGCTCTAACACTCTTAGATTCCTTTCATATAAGAAAATAGACACTAAAAATAAGTCTCTTGAAAGATCTGACTACATGGAAAGGAGCGGTATATGATATTTTCTTTGCCAACCCAAAATGGGCATTTATCTGCCCATTTTATAGGCTATCTCTCCATTTACAGTTCAGAGTGGGCCTTCCAGCTACCACAGCAAAAAGACAGCTTGGGAGTTGCACAGTTTAATGTAATTTTAAGTCCTACTTATTTTCTCAGAAACAGCGAGAAACAGTTACAAATGTTGCCCTCTTTGTTTGCTGGTATTTTTATGGCAGCTACACAATTACTTTTTTTTCCTAAAAAAAACCCTGCATCTGCTGAGGAGTGAAAGCATTTGGAGCAACTCAAATTAATGTACCATTTATTTATGAATTATTTGTCAGAACAATTTTGTCACCTTATTGCCTCCTTGACATTGCCTTCTTTTTAAAAACAAATGCAAGATAAACAAAAATAAATGGATATATAATGTCCTCTGGAAAGAGTCTGAACAATGAGAAATTAAAGGCTGAAATCCCCATTAATGTAGTATTTAGTGATTCCTGGGCTTCTGTGGAGATTTTAAGGCCCATGTGAGGTCATTATACATGATTCTTCAGTAGAGTTTTTCAGAGACTCAAAAATCCCCTCTGTGATCCATTCACAGAAAAAAATAATTCAAATTTTACTGCAGCCAATTGCAATCCTTCGAGGTTTGGAGCCTAGAATTCAGTAGACCGTGTCATGAGTACTTAAGCATTTAGAAACCTCTCATAGAGGAGCTGAAATAATAAGAAAGTGGAGGCCACATAATGGAGAGGGCTGGTGATGCTCGTGTGACCGGTATTCTAGATGGTTTTGATTTATGGGCTGCTCAGATATAAACCAAATCCTACTTCCTTCTCATTAGTGATAATTAACAATTAATGGAGCAGGAGAGAAGTCAATCTTACAAGATTCCTTTCTTTCCTGAGATCTGATTATAGGTCATGTTTTTCCTTTAGAAAATTTATTCATACTGAAACTGCATTCGTTTCTGAATTAGTTACATCACATATCAGTAAAACCTCGTAAATATTGAGAATAATTTCAGGGAAAGGATAATTTAGATTGGAGAAAACTTGGCATTATCCACTCCTTTAAAGGATGGAATACAGTCTGGAGATATGTTGACTAAGAACAAAAAGTCATGGTGAGAGATGAACGTGGATTTGTTCTGTGAGTTCAGCTGTAGGGCTCAACTTGTCCAAAACTGAACTCCTCTCCTGCCCCCTACTGCAATGTTTTTCATACTAAATAAAGTTTCTTGCCATCATTACCCCCAATTGCTCAGACCAGATATTTTAAAGCTTTTCTTAATACCTTCCTCACCACAGCCTAACAACTGCTTAGGCTATTGATTCTGCCTCCTAAATATTGTTAGGACTTGTTTGCTTCTCCTTTCCTCCCTACTCATCACTCTGGTCTGAACTATGAGCATCTCTAGTGTGTCTTGAAGAAACAGCTTGGCTTGGGGCTTTGTTGTTCTTTTAATTAATTCTTAATCACGTAGCCAAAGTGGTATTCAAAATCTGATTATGTCAAACTAAATCACTCTACTTCTCTCCTTGCCCCTTGCGCCCTCAGAAAAGCTATACACATTCACACACACACACATACACATATACACACTCTTAAAACAGATTCCTCTTAGGAGAAATTCCAAAATATGTAGCAAGGCTTATTGTTCCCTGAATAATCTGGCCTCTGTCTGTCTCTCCAGCCTCTGGAATGACCATATCTAAGTCCATATATCCACTGTTTAACCAGTTGGCCTTGAAGAATAGAAATTTTATGCCAACACTCCCAGCAAAAGTCCAGAGATGATCTACGGAATGTATAGAACACATAGAATGAGAAAGAAAAAGCATGGCTACATGAAAATCTGTGAGACCTCATTCAACTGAAAAATCCATTACCAAGGACATAAAATATAATTATTATTTTATTAGTAGTAAAATCGATAAAAATATAAGGTATTTATAATTCATATAAATGGGGACTGAAGTAATGACGTTTTCTCTGGGCTGTGTTTCTTTTTAAAATCTATTAAGAGAAGACAATTTGGAGTAAAATTAGAATTCTTTCCTAAAGATCCAAAAAGATTTAGTTTCAATTTACTTATCTGCTTACCGAATTAACATATAATTTAAAAAAGAAACTAAGATTTGGATATTGGCCATTCATCTTTTTTCAGATATGCTTAGAATTCACTCAAGTAGGGTACATGTACAGAAATCTAAATGGCATTTAGATGCCAAATTATAACTTTTTTTGGCAAAGTTAGTTCTTTCTTGAATTTTCTGAGAAGCAGACTATGTTGGTTCTGCCTTGTTTGTCCAGTTGGAGTAGTTCACTGACAAAAATGCAAATGTTTTCTTTTTCCTGCAATTACTATTTCTGGTTAAAAGAAGAGAACTTGAGTCTTCACTATATGATCTCATTTGCATTTGGCTACAAATTGATATAAAGTCGGGGGCAGGAAGTGGGTGGGGAATTCTTTTAGCCAAATTTGAGATAAGTTGGAAGGGATGAATGACTGTAATCTTTATAGATAAAGATGCCATAGGACCTTCTAACTCATCCTCTTTGGGTTAGATTAGGAGACATATGCTTCAATATTATGGTCCTTGAAAATACTAATATTTTGCATTCAAATGATTGTACAATAATCAATAAAATCCCATCTTTATCTTAAAATCCAATGCTAAATTTACAAAAAATACAAACGGAGTTGAAAATATAGATGTATCATAAATTGGGATGAATATTTTTAAGTGTAATATCTGGACTAATATCCTTTAATTTTCCACGAGAGGAGTTAATATTTAATGCT